AGGGGGCAATATTAGCACCTTGAGAGGTTACAGCAGCCTGGGGATCTTAGCGAAGAGGTGTCATGGGTTACTTCTTCTCTGGCCTCCCTCCCCGTAGCAGTTTTTACATTCTTGGTAGGAAAACAAAAGCACGTTTTGGAATGAGGCGGAGAAGTTTCTCAAAACTCTGCTTCTGGAGAGTGGTCAGTTCAAAGGGTGGCTAATGCCCAGTGACAACTGAGTAACTCATGGTGTCCAAAAGAAAAGCTCTCTTGGATGTCTGAAAAAAACCAGGCTTATTTTGTTAACTTGCAACTTTGGAGATCAAAAAGGTTCTGTTTACATCCCTTCTGAATTATCAATTAATATATGATTTCTGAAGCATGAAAACAGATTTAACTGGATTTGTGAAAGGCTTCTTAAACTGTCGTTGCAAGACTGGTTTCTGCTGTCTCCTTCTGACACTAAGGCAGCAATCCTGTGCCGGCTCTTACCGAGGAACAAGAACCATTTAAAACATTGGGTTTTGCTGCCCACGTAAACATGCATAAATCTGCCTGACACCACTTCTCATGGATGGCCACGACAAAACATGGTCTCTCCTAAGTGTATCGGATCAAAGGTCGTGTGTCACTTGAGCAAAGCAATCCATAGTCAACAGACTTAAAGAGAATTGAGGAGGGGGCGTGCTATGTGGAATAAGCCCCGTTTGAGATTATTTTAAAGACAAAAAAAATCGTTCAGGGAACCTGGAAATAAAAGAGATTGGGCCGTCATTTGTCGTTTATAGCTTACAGTTCCGTGCGTGAATGCGTGTGCATACCTGCGTGTGTGCATGTTATTAAAGGCACAAAAGATGAAAGGACCTTGACTTTGTAAAGCACCGCAAGACGAGTTTCTCATTAACGGTATCTTAAAACTATATGGAAAATGACGCTTCTGTTCCTAAACTGATGCACACTTCACTTTAGAGCTGGTGCTGTACCTTCCGTTCAAACAGGAAGGGAAAACACACACACACACCCCTCTCTTTCGATTATAGCTAAATTATGACAACATTTTTGTTTAACAGACTCCGAATAAAGGGAGGGAAGAGTAGGGTGAGAACCAGTAAGGCCTATTAGCGTGCATGTCCTGGGAATGCTTTTAAGAGAAAATGGGAGGAGAGACAAACAATATACAATAGATTAAATGGGGTGGGGGGGGAAGCGACACACACCAAAGCAAAGGCACATGAAAGGCAATCCTCTGGGTGTCACGGAAGGCCGGCTGCCAGGAGGGTTTGCCCCGGGAACGGTGGCTACCGAAGGGCTTGGGAATAGCTTGCCCCTCTGTCTACACGACACAGTCACAGGCGATACTTGCCCGCGTTTGTTCGCGTGGCTTTGCCCGCTCTGTGGCCGGATTCGCTCTCTCCTTGGGGCAGGCTTACCTACCACCACCATTGAGCAGCCGGGTCGCTCCATCCTCTCCTCTCTAGGAAGCGTCGGAAAGAACTGGGGTGGTGGCGGTGGCGGCGGCAGCAAAAGCGGGTGAGAGAAACCGGTTTTGGTCTCAGATTTTCAGATCTTCTTGTCCTCCCTTTGACTAAAGCCACCTACGTCCCCATAGGCTCCTTAGCATAACCATGAGATAATATAACCAGACTCTTTCTATAAAATAATACAGTAATAGAAAATCTTAGTACGGAAACCATCGGCCCTTTAAAAAGAGTAGGATTAAGGCGACAAGCCCTAGTGAATAAAATGCCAATTAACCAGAGCGGCGTTTACTTCCGAGAAAACACATCTGCAGTACAAGGATGCCTGAAAAGGAGTTGCATGCATGTATGAAGAAGGGAACAAAAATATAGGGGAATAGAATATGCATCTTTCTTGCGCCACCGCGGAAACGCCCTTGCCTTCACCCACCTACCGGCCACCGGCCACTGCGTGCACCCGAGAAGTCTTCCTCGAGGGAGCAGGAATGTGTGTGGGGGTGCGGGCGCGAGTGCGGTGCGATTGTGGGTCTAGCGCCAGCTCAAAGGACTTCTCTTTCTCTGCCTTGGTGGGCCACTAAGAAGACCAACAACAGCCGAACCGGTTATCCCCCTTGGCCTGTTTCTCATTTTAGTTCCCTCCCTTCCTAGCGCCTTGTGCTAGTTTCTTGCTCACCCATTTACAACTGAATCGAGCCTAAAGGGTGGGTCGCCTTACCAACAAGGCATTATTACCACCTCCGATGGGCCATCAAATCAAAGCAGATTGAAGAGCCAGTTCAAAATCAAGGCGAACCCTTTCAAAAGCATTGCTAAAAATGGGAAGGGGTGGGGTATTATAAGGTAAGCATTATAATGTAAGTATTGTAATGCAAACGTTTATCTATTCTGTAGTCTGAGGAGAGATAAAGGGGTAACGTCAATTCTGAAAGACAGAGAACTTGATGAGATCAAAACTTTTACAACACAAAAGACGTCTGGATAACCCGTTCTCTGTGTTAAATCCCCAAGAATGCCTTTCCGTCTTGCTGATCAAGGGCATCAACATTTTAGAAACTAAAGGTCAATTGAGGAGGCTTGGGTGCGGGGTCCGTGAATGGGTGGGAGGCGTTAAGAGGAAGATTTTACAGCTCCCCTCTTTACAAGGAATCTGATCGCGGGTAAATAATACCAGTCGCTTGCGCGGTGCAGCGATGGCAGGCGCCTCTCTGTTCGTTTCACTTTTGGAGTGGATTTCCCCCCCTCTACACACACACACACACAGAGAAGAGAGAGAGAGAGAGAGAGATGCAGAACAAGCAAGATTTAAAATTGTGGTTGGAGGGCAAAAAGTCAGAAAATATTTTATTAGGGTCATCAATATATACCCCATTTGTAAGGAAGGATTTTGAGATCTGATCCCAAGCGGGGAAGGAAAGGGGGGAAAAAGGGCACAAGAGGTGCAAATACTAAAATCTCAATATTAGCCGTACTGCTGTAGGCAGCTTTTTTCAGAGCATAGAAGCTAAGTCTACGTAGTGAGCGATGGTGGAGGGTCATCGATCTTAAGCGAAAAATAAAGGACACAGTGGCGAGGCGGGAGCTAGAACGGTGGATCGAAGGATATAGCTCCCTAAATAGCTTGTATGCTAAGTCATGGGGGTTGGACACAGGGTTTAAAACACGGAGGGATGTTTTCAGTCTCATAAATATTCCGTGGGGTGAACAGAGTTTCTTCCTTTCCTGAGAACTGTTAAATGTTTTAAGGGAGAGAGAACTGCTGAGCCAGCGGCAAATTCTCTTCTGGCGAGTGGCAGAAGATCGTTCAAAGTGGGGGGAAGGCTTGAAAGCTTATGTAATTTGAAAGCAACAGAACTGGTTTTCTAAAAAGGGTGGTTTTTTTTTTAAAAAAACCACCTAAACAGCAAGTTAGTTATGGTTTATATAGTGGGTTGGAAAATAAAATCAGGATTTAGAATATGACTGAGGACTGCTCCCTGTAAGTTCCTTTAACACCAAATAAGGAATGAAAAATAGATGCACTGATATTTGCTAGGAGTGGTGGTGGTGTTCTTTTCTATTTGTTTGTTTGTTTGTTTGTTTGTTTGTTTATATATTTCCTCGGGCTTGTAAATGTTCTGATGCCTCATCCCATGATCATAGAGGGTACAAGGCAAATTAATCAGTACCTTGGAAATGAGTGATATTTTAACCAGGGCACATTTTAAGGAAGATTCAGTGCAATGAAGACTCTTCAATAACGTTTGTTCTAATTAACCTTGAGAAAATTACGAGTTCTAGGACGATATGCCCTCCTGACAAATCTATATTTCTACTCATAATTGATTCCTAGTGGTCTTACTCCCATTAACTTCCCCCAGAATTATTTTTATAAACTCCTTTTATTGAAGCCTTTTTCTATTTTAAACGAAATGGTCATTTCAGATATCGAAAACTTTGAATTCGCAGACTTGATTCTTGTTTAAAAATTATGTTGTCCATTATTTTTGTACTTTATTAGTGGCGCCTCTTGGTTCTCATAAAACATACCATATAGGTCACACTTCTGAGCAGTAAAATCGGTTGTGGCTAGTTTACTTGTTTAGTCGTTAAGTCGTGTCCGACTCTTCGTGACCCCATGGACCAGAGCATGCCAGGCCCTCCTGTCTTCCACTGCCTTCCGGAGTTGGGTCAGATTCATGTTGGTAGCTTCGATGTGGCTAGTTACTGCGAAGTAAAAGGAGGGAAATGAAGTAATGTTAATATTGATAGAAACAGGAGTAAGTGAAGTACTAAAACGAGCAGGAAAGAAACTGGGCGTTTATAATTTGAAATAAAGCCATTCTTAATTTTCAGTATGTTTTTGGTTGAAATTCACACACAGATTAGCGCCTACTTCAGTTCTGTATTGAAGGTCTTTCTCTGGATCCCTAAGATCTGACTCACTTTCACACTCCTAGTTATTATTTAGGATTCGGTTGGAACCAGCTAAACAAATGCAAACCATTATTTTGTTTTATTTTAAAAAGCTGCGTCAGCAAGCTTTCTTGTCCTTATCAAGCGGCATGCCTGGCTTCCAAAATCTATTCCTACGTTTGGCTTCCTCTTGCCTTCCTTCCGTCTCTTCCCGGCACCCCGCCAAGTACCCCTCGGTGCCTCCCCCGGTGCTAGGTATGAAAGGGGACACACATTTTGCAGGGAGAGAAGGATACACTTCCCGACAAAAAGCAGGCTGCGTCTCTGATAGATAACGCGATAAATAATGAGAAGACTTGATAGCGGGGAGAGGCGCGCGCGCGCGGAGGGGGGGAGAGGGAAAGATTGTGCTCAGAAGTTATGTGTGGGGAATGGAGTGTATAAAATACAAAAGGCGGCGCGGAGGGGAGCGTGTGAGCGCGCGGGAGGGGAGGGGGGGAACGACGACCAGCTCCCTCTTTGGCGGGTTCAGCGCTTTTTAGCTGTTTGGAGTAAATGAAGGGAATGTGGATTTTTCTGGGGCCAATCGCAACGCTGGGCTGGACGCCGAGCTGCTGATTGGCTGGGCGGAGGTTCTTAGCCTGTGCGTAGCCCCTAGATCATGTCTACTGAACTGAGTCCAGCTGGCGCCAGAGCTGACATAGGATGCTTTGGGGATGTTACAAGAAAGGCCAGAATAAGTGGAGTTTGCCATCTGAGTAAGAGCCTCCATCCTGTTCTCCTCTCTCGCTTGCTTGCTTGCTTGCTCTCCTTCGCCTCACTCACTTTCTCTCTCTTTTCTGCATTTCCCTCTTCCAAACAATCACCCCCACCCCACCCCCTTTACAACCTCATAAAGAAACTTTTCAAACATTTGGAGTTGGATTCAGTCTGCTTGGAAGAGCTCTCTGTAAGTATGTTTGTTAGAGGGACGGCAAGACGGGGAGCGGCGGAGGGGGGGGGAGAGAGAGAAGGAACGGAAAAGGATGGCTGAGTTTAAGCTGCAGGAGAACAGGCGTTCCGAGTGCTCTTGTGGCGGTGGAGTGTTTTGGCTTTTTTTAAAAAAAACACGGCTTTCGAGCCTTTAAAATGCATTTTAATTTCGATTTGAACTAATTGAAAACAAAAAATTGATCGAAGTACTGCCTTCAATTCTCTTTTACCACGAACGGGGGGGGGGGAAGCCTGTTATTCACAACTAGAGAAAACAGCACTAAACATATTTTTTCGAAAAACACGGGGGGGGGACTAGTGAAACAGTGTAGAAAAGGGGGATCCTGATGCGAACGACAAAATGGGAGTCCTCCTGGTTCTCTTCCCCCTCCTCCCCCTTTTTTGATCTTTCTAAGGAGTCTTTTCCCCTCCTCCCGCCCCCAACATTGTCTGCCAGCTTTCTAGCGTGTGTTCTTCGGCGTTCCTCTTCAAAGAGTAGAGAACGTACTAACCGTTCCTTCCTCCTTACAGGTGGCGACCCAGGTGTGTGGCAGGAGCCTCTCCACAACTTCCCTGTTTAAAAGAGGGGACACAGCTTACATCTGCTTTTCCTCCGAGGCCAACGCAACTTGCTCCTTGACATTCTCCAACATATAAAGGCAAACTTAACAGTAACCAAACGAGACCTTTGGGGGGGGAAGGGAAAAGGTTTGGAGAAGGAAGGGGTTTGTTTTAGGGGTGGCGTGGGGGAGAAACCCACAGAAATGGAGGTAGGCACGGACCAACCTCGCTGGATGGCCCATCACGCCGTTCTGAACGGGCAGCACCCGGAGACTCACCACCCGGGACTGGCTCATAACTACATGGAACCGGCGCAGCTCCTACCTCCGGACGAAGTGGACGTCTTCTTCAACCATCTGGACTCCCAGGGCAACCCGTACTATGCCAACTCAGCCCATGCCAGAGCCCGAGTTTCCTACAGCCAGGCGCACGGTAAAGATCCCCCTCCCCGCCGCCGCGACCCTGCGACGCCCTCCTTCCATGCTTTCCGTTTTTCTGCTTCGGGCTTCCTCGGGAATCTTTAGTGGAGCGGGAACCAGAGGGGGTTTCTCTGGCGACTGAAGCGGCGGGGAGGAGGGCGACCGGGATGGCTTGGATCCCAGAAGAATTTGTCCTCCACTGCCGTACAGGCGGCGGGCATGAATCCTTGGGAGGGGGGTCGGTTGTAGAAGGAAGGGGATTAGGAAAGGGAAACGGCGTCTTCGTGTGGGGAGGTGGAGGAGGAGGTTATGGCTAGCCTTTGCAAGCCGCGAGGCCAGGGCACTTCCCGGATATGAAATCTAAGCCGACTTGAAACACTTAAAAAAATATTCTGGGTCATTGTGCTGATGGCACACTTTTGGGGACTAAAGTTCTTGTTCAAAACAAAACAAATTAAAAAAAAAACACCCCACACGCCTCCGTTTGCCTAGTAGGGCCTCTTTACTTAGAGATGTGCCAGCTTAGATGCGTGTTACTATTTAGCCTCTTTGGGAAGCCACAGTGGGGAGGGGGAATCCCTCCCAACTCGCGTTTTCCTCTTGATCGTGCGTTGCTTCCTCCATGTTCGGTGCGGTTTTGTTGCCGAGTGTAGGAAGGTGGGTCTGCCGGGAACTGCCTGCCAGGCCGTGCTAAATATGCCTTAGTCAAGGGGGAGATTTTGGGAGTCACTCCCCAAAAGGAGGGTCGACTCTGCTCCAAAATGCGGCGGTTGGAGCGTGCACTTTCCTGCACTTTTCGACTCAATTCCCAATGATTTCGTGAATAAGTATCAGCTTTTTTTTGTTACTGCGGCCCATTGCTGAACTTCCATCTTTTTAACAATCTTTCTTCGTTTGGGTGGGTTTGATGGTGGGGAATCTCAACCTTTGCTCAAAGTCGCTTTCCGAGGCCTGGCTTGTCCCTACCCTCCATTGGGATGTAGGGAAGTGCCTTTTTTTCCCGGGCCTTGGCACGTGCGTTAATGGCTGTTCGAGGTCCGAATTCTACTTTGAATTAGGCGAGCGGAGGCTGCAAGGCCCACTAGCTCCAATGCAGCCCCTGGTGGGGACGGGCAGGTCCACGGGTGGGTCGTCTGGCCCGGCATGCCCGGGACACCGCCAGCGCGAAAGGTGAAGGTCCGGGGTGGAAGCGGGCTGAGCGGCTTTGCCTCCAGGCTTTGGCCTGCAGTTTTTTCTGACTGGTGCCCTTTCCTTGTCCTCCGCAGCCCGCCTGACCGGGAGCCAAATGTGCCGGCCTCACTTGCTCCACAGCCCCGGCCTGCCCTGGCTGGACAGCGGCAAAGCGGCCCTCTCGGCGGCCCACCATCACAACCCGTGGACGGTGAACCCTTTCACCAAGGGGCCCTTGCACCCTTCGGCGGCCGGCGCGCCGCCCGGCGCCATCTCGGTGTACCCTGGCGGCGGCAGCGCGGCGTCGAGCGCGGCCTCCGCCTCTTCGCTCACCCCGGCCTCCCATTCGGGGTCGCATCTCTTCGGCTTCCCGCCCACGCCGCCCAAGGAGGTCTCGCCGGACCCCAACGCCAGCAGCAGCGCCGCCTCGCCCGCCTCGGCCTCAGCCGGGGGTGGCGGCGGCCGGCAGGACGACAAGGAGCCCCTCAAGTACCAGGTGTCCCTGGCCGACAGCATGAAGATGGAGAGCGCCAGCCCGCTCCGCAGCAGCCTCGCCGCCTCCATGGGCGCGCAGGCTTCCACGCACCACCCCATCCCTACCTACCCTTCGTATGTGCCGGCCGCCCACGACTACGGCGGCAGCCTCTTCCACCCGGGCAGCTTCCTAGGCGGGCCTGCCTCCAGCTTCACGCCCAAGCAGAGGAGCAAAGCCAGGTCTTGCTCAGGTAAGGCCACCATCCTCCACCCTCCCCTTCCCAGAGGCCCTGCTGAATTCGTCCAGACTTTAGAAAAGAGAGTAGAAGTGTGTGGAGTGTGCGTGTGCATGCATGCATGGGAGGGAGGCTTAGGGGGGCAGCAGCACCAGCAACCACCCCCAGTTGTTCTTTTTGGTGCTGGTCTGTATCCTGTCTCTTATGTACAGCAGGATTTATTCAGGTATTCAAGGTCAACTGGAAAGTACTTTGCACTTGGAAAAATTACTAGTTACCTTATGGAAAAGCTGCCTATAAACATAGTAAAGAAATAAAGAAACTAATGTACTCGCAGTAATAATCTTGTTGCTAGTGGACTAGGGAATATCTTTTGGAATATGCTTAATTAATCTTCCAAAATGTATGGTTCAAGGTTTATGTTCTTTACTTAACTCACAAACTTAGTGTCAGTGTATTGATAAAACTTACACCATTGCTTAATACATACAGCAGTTCTGTTGGGGATAGAATGGGGATAACTTGACAGGATGCACTCCATTCCAAAGTTCCCACTTCTCCTAGGACTAATTAGGGTATAAATAGGTATTTAGACATTAAATTAATGATGACGTTCTGTTCTCTATTCACAGTCCAATTTATTAAATCAGACTAAATTCACCACCTCTTTGATTTTGTAATTGTAATAATCAAACCAGATTAGAATTGCTCTTGCATGTATAAGCATACACTGAAACCTGGAATTATTTTTTAAAAAGCACTTAAATATCCTGAACTTGTGTATCAAATATGGTTTCACATATTAAGGGATAGGTAAATATTAATCTGGGTTAAACGATTTTGAATGTCAGAGGGATGTTTTACAAATGCCCTCCTCAGACCTTGAATACATTCATGCTGCTGAGTTTCAGTGAGAAAGGGTAACCAAACTGAACTTATTCGTGCATTTTATGAGACTGAGGGAACAGCTCGGAACAGCAGGGGCATCTCTAGCTTTCAAAAGTTTAGTTTGTTATTACTAATTGGTTATAGACAAGCTGTCTCTCCCTTCAAGTTCCAGCCACTGGTCTCTGCAGCAGCATTCGGTCACTGCTGGGCCTGAGGGATGCAGTAATCCGTTAAAAAAACCCTGGCAGATCTGAATTATGCAAATAAGGGTTTATATAGGAAAATCTCTTAACAACGCAACCACATAAAGGCCCAGGCCAGCTGTATTCCCTGGAAATGCCTGACAAGATCCTATATTCCTTTGCCTTCTTTGGGGGAGATTTCAGCTGAGTTACTTTTGTTGAATTGCACTGTTAATCTTCATTAAGCAGTGCAATTTGCAAAGCACTCACTCTTCAGAGCTGAAATTTACAAGTGCATTTTCTTAAAACTTCCAGAGGGCCTTTACTTCCTTCACATTGTACAAAGAGCAAAAGTTCAGATATAGTTTACATACCAGAGCTGGCTACTAAGGTACCTTGTAAATACTAATTTAAACGAATCCAATAAAACTGGGGGAGGGAAATAAGTACCACTTATCTTAACTCCTGCTCATCCCTGCTTGTTAAACAAGAAACGTTAAAATTTCCCTGTCTCTTCTTGCATATAAAATCTACAAGCTACAGGGACTCTTTTAGCCTCAGGATCTTTTAAATATACTCATTTTAATGAACAGTATTCTTGTGAATGCAACATTCTAGATGTTGCTACAACAGTGTGTTTCTGCCACATTAGTATTTCATACTTCTAAGGCACTTCTTTTCCAGAAGGTGATAAATATATGTGGTGGAATTTAATGTGACAGTAAAGAAAAATAAGATATTTATGAGTGCACAGATCTTTTTTTCAACATGGCTAGTAATTCAGTAACATGACTTCTTTTATAGGCTTTGCAAAAACAACAATAATAAAATCACATATTTTACTGTATCAAACTCCCTCAGTTCATATTGTTCTCTTTTCAAAGAGAGATTGAGAGAGAGAGAGAGAAAAATCACGCGGCCCAGTACTTGAAGTGCTGCTGTTGTGTCCAGTTCAGAGAAGCAGTATACATTTTTTACAAAAGCAAAACAAAACACAACCCTTATACCGTGGTCACTTTTGTAAACTGTTCCAAGGCGGGTACATTGTCGTTTTGGAAAGCAGGGTCTCCCTCTCCCCAGTTTGACCCCTTGCCCTCCTTTCCCCACAATATTAACGCTTTTTATTAGATGTAAGTTTTGCTATGTTTTGTAGTGGAGGCCCAGTCCTGTAGAATGAAACTGGGCAGAGTTCGTGACCATTTTATGTTTTTGTAGGAAAAGCAAAACTCACGACAAGGCGACTCCTGCAGCTTCCTGCCCAAGGAGAGACAAAAGCTAGGAACTCGGGCTTCACGGAGTTCCCTCATTTTTCACTACAGCCTGTACTGTTTAAAAACCACCCACTCCATAGATTAAAGGAGACGTAGAGGCAGCTGAACTCAGCAGGGCCTGCTCGAGTTACTGGCCAAAGTATATTTCCTCTGCATTAAATACTGTACGATTTGCATAAACTGTGCTAACAGAATTTACTACATTAACTAGACTTGACCTCAAACTAAAGATACTAAAGATCTTCCGGTAAACATCCTTTGCCCCTTCACCTACCTTGTTTAAAAATAAGGATAATCTATAACAGTAAATAATGGCCAGTAAACATGCATAATGTGAACAAGCTAGCAAAAGAGAGAACAGAGTTATTGATTTAAACTTTCTAGAGAATCTGTAAAGTAGAGAAACAAAAGTTAATTGTTCCAAGTGACTTCTAGTACAAAGCTTTGCTTTAGCATATGTAACACATGAAATTCGGGGCATGGGGGGGGTGAGATCGGCAATTTGCCTAGGTAACAATTCCAGTTGGCAATGCAGTCTATTGAATTGTTGTTCATTCCTGGATGCAAGAGCAGGAGAGATCACCTGAAAATACAAAATAGCTATGAAACTTTATTAGATTCTAGGGAAGTCATACTGTGAGGGAATTGCTGAAAGTTCAGTTAGACAGACATTATCTGATCACCTTATGAGAAATTGCTTCTTGAAATGTGTGTTACATTTTTGCTATTTCAGATAATGTAGACCCTTGTTTTGTATTGTTCCTCCCCCCCCCTTTCTTCTTTAAAATTGAATAATATACTGTTTTGATTTTTGGACTCTGCCTAAAAGGACAATGCAAAAAGCTTTTGTGAATTTGTTTTTAAAGAAAGAAATCCGGTTTCTTCGTGTTTCCATTTAGAAGGCAGAGAGTGTGTCAACTGTGGAGCTACTGCCACCCCTCTCTGGAGAAGAGACGGTACCGGGCATTATCTGTGTAACGCCTGTGGGCTCTACCACAAAATGAACGGTCAAAACCGACCTCTCATTAAACCTAAACGGAGGCTGGTAGGTGTTTCTTCCTCTACTAGGTTTGGGGCTAAATGATTTAATGGGACCACACACATGCATCGGATGGAGAGAGGGCAGCCTGACCTATCTCTGTGCTTTGGAGCCTGCATGGAATCAAGATGTTGTGCTGCACATATGATCCATGTCATTTGGAGGTCACCATGTCGCCTAGGGACAGATTTCATGGGCTCTACCCAGAACAGTTTATGTGCCAAGATATAGAACAATAGCGATTTAATAGGTGGATATGTATGTACAAGCACACAGAGTGTATGAATAGAATTTTGTCAAATCTATTATTTTATTGTAATTTGTACAACAATCCTGTATGGTAGGTCAATGTTATTACTCCCATTGTGTAGATGATGAAAGGGTGGGTGGGAAGCATGGCATAGTGGACTGAGACTGAGAAACTGCCTTGCCTAAGGCTACTTATTGAGTTCATAGTGAAGGTAAGACTCAAACCGGAGAGTCTTCTCATTTGCTCTTAACAATCACTTAGCCAAGTAGGGTGCTCATTCTCTCTCTCTCTCTCTCTCTGTCTCTCTCTTTTTGTGTATTTAATGTCTTCCAGTCTCTGGCTGTTTGGAGGTATGTGCCTAGTTGTGATTGCCTGTTGGTTCCTTTGGCTCTCTTCAGTCCCTTTTATCCAGAAAGGACAGCTTTAATTCATTTGACCTCTTGGGCAATTTAGGAGGGCACTGGAACTGAAATCATTAGTTGTGTAGATCTTCGCCGTTGAAGAAGTATTTTAGATGAGAACGTTTTATAAATGTCAGCTGAGTCAAAGCCATTGCCATAGTTATTTTGATAAAGTAATTTTGCAGTCATATATTCCATGGCAAACCAACATCACTTCTCTGTTCAAGCAATCCTCTAATTGCCCTTCTAAAGAGCTGATTATTTTTCCATGGAGTCACCTACACTTTGTATTTTCATTTGAGTGATTTTTTTTCTTTTAAAATTCTAAGCTCTTGGTAGTAGTTTCCTATCCGGATATCTGTGCTCTGAAGATAAGGAAACTTTGTGTATCTGTTTCCTGACCTAAAAGCTTTAAAGAATTTCTATAGGCAAGCCATGCCAGTCAGGCTGACTGTTTTGAAATTTCAAAGATGCTTCATGCTCTTGTTAAAAAAGAAATGATAATCACCATCATCATCATCATCTAGCAGTTTAGTGGGTGTGCAGATGAAATATCTCATTTCTCTGTGTGCATGTGTGCGTGCCATTTTTGCCACAGCTAGAATTGGGAAGCCAAAAGGAGCAGCTTTCATGCTTGTATCCTGTCCCAGAATTAGATTGTTTCGGCTGCAGATCAGAATTTCAGCAGGGCGAGCTTCTTAATTACTTGCTTTTCTTCTGAACTGACTGACATGTCTAGAAAAATGTTAAGACAACAGTGTAACATTATCATCTCTCCCAGGCTGAAATTCATGCCAGACTAAATGGGGACAGGCCATAGAGTTAAGCAGCAAGAGTATAGCATCAATAAACCATCTCAAATATGCAAACATAGGTTTCTGCTTTCAAATGTTTGGAGAGAGACTCCCAGGTTCTTAATTCATGGTGAGAGCTTTTGGGGGGAGTAGGTTTCTAAAGTGTACATGAGTGTGTTTTTAAATTGTTCAGGGAATGTGGGGCAGGACCAGTTTTAGAATCAACCACCAGTATAATCCATAAATGTTGAAAAGGCATAACTGTTTTCCAGTAATAATGAGAGAGTTTTTAATATAAAAATATATTTTGTAAACATTTCTTAACCACTTGCATTCTAAAACACCCAAATTTGGAAGTTGTATAAAATTGATCTTTTATTGATTATAGGTAAACTGTTCCAGGCATCCAGAACACAGCCAAATTAGGAAATATGAATACAGTCAGTGTTTTATAGAGAAACTGCTCAAAATGACTTATTGGCTGAGGAGTGTTCTACTTTTTTTAAAAAAAAAAAAATTTAAAATTTTATGCAGCAGCCTAAATAAAAATGAAATCATAAAAAGAGGGATACAACCACATCAGAAAACCATAAGCTAGTAAGAGATAAGCAGTTGTCCTGATCCAGCGATAAGGATCTGCTTGGGGCTCTCCAGTAATGAAGGCACGGTGGGCAGCTAGCTGCCTAAAGTGTGCGTGTAGCCTAGACTTGCACTTTTCAGCCCAGATGTGCGTCCAGTACAAAGTTGGTCCTCCAGAGAGAGAAGTGCTCTTAGTAATCCCTTGCCTGTAGCAAGTTAGTGCTGTGATAAGTTTGCAGTGAATCTCCTTGGGGGGCATGGATCAGCTGATTCGCACAGGAAGAGAGGGAGCACTCACTCCTGTTTGGAGCAAGTTTGGAAAAGTTCCCCTTTTAGGGCTACGTGCTGACAGGGATTTTGCAAGGTGTAGTCTCAGAAACCTAGCTTTTCCAAGCTCTAGTTTTGGAATCTTCTTTTATTCCCCCAGAAAGTCAGTCAGAAGTTCCTTGGAGGAGGAGTAATCCCCTGAGGGGGCCCAACAAGGACAGGGAGTGCTTTTACGGTGTCCTAAGAAGCCTGGGTGTCTTGCTCTGTGAGAGACTTAATAGTCTTCCATGCCATATGAGAACCAGGGTCGGTAGCTTCAGCTTCCATCGCACTCCCTGTTTTTACTGTGACTGGAAGTTGGGAAGGGGCCGCACCTTGGGGGGTAGAGCACATCCGTTGCTTGTCATAGGTTCAATCCCCAGCACCTTCAGTTAAGACAGAGATTAGGTGGTTCTTGGCATGGAAGACCTTGGCTTGAGGCTGCTTCCCTTTCAAAGGAAACTAGGCTGTTTCGGCAAATAGTTTGAGCTGTGAGGATGCAGTTTTTCATAGGATGCTTCTGAAAATAGGTTTAGTTAATAGAATAGCATTGTAATTGGAAGCTCTTCAGTGCAATGATGATGATGATGATAACCACCACCTTTGAACTTCAGAGCTGGAAGGGACCCCATAGATCATTGAGTCCAGCCTTTCTCAAGGAGGCAAAGTGGGGAATCGAACTCTCAACCTCTGGCTCCCCAGCCAAAGACCTGAGCTATGCCAGATGGCAAACATTTTAAATGACACCTCTCCCTTTCCTCTTGTTAGGCTCTGGTATACAGTTCTTCTTAATTTCATTTGGCCTTGTTCAGTAGAGTGCACAGGAGGGTTATCTCATTTGTCATGAATTCTTAAAGTGTGCTTTTCCATCTTTTTTCAAAGTGGTTATCAGGTAGGGACTTATTTCCTTTTTAATCTTATGAATGAAATATATTAGGTGGGGTCCAAGTTAAGTTAGTCCATTAGGATTTATGTATTTATTTATTCAATATACTGCCTTTCTCCCAGAAGTGGGATCCAAGGGGGTGTTTACAATACAGTTGAAAAACAATATGAAATTAAAATGCAGTAAAGTTACAGATATTACAGTCGAATAAAATTCATTATTAGTGTTGTAAGTCACACAAAAGTGGGAAATTAGTAAGTCAGCTCCTCTGTAACTTCCATTGATTTTTGTGACTTAATACGCTAAGCAATAGGATTTCAGCCACAATGTTATGGAAATACATTTAAAACTCTCTAAAATCTATTGATAATAATACTAATACTTACCTAAATGTGAAGGGAAAAAGAGAAGAAGGGCGGCACATCAATTATAGTCTGGTGGCTTGAAGTTATTAACTGCCTGGCTCTGTAAAAAGGATCCATTGCCCATTGTCTTGGAGCTGAGATCTTATTGTAAATGATACGGAACTTTGGTATGGCCTGCCATAGTGGTATATAGAGCATAGGAAGCTGCTTTAGAGTCTGTCAGAGTTTTGGTTCAGTCTAGGTGACTTTCTATGCTTGCAGGAAGGATTCTTCCCTTGTCGCAGCTGGAGATCCTCTACTAATCCCTTGTTGGTCTCCCATCCATATACTAGCTAGCTACTTCTCACCCCGATTAGGTGCCCAAATCAGACATCATCAGCTGTATCTAGGGTAGCCTAGAAACCCGTTAGGTCATTGTGTACTGATCCGTTTTTGTCTTGGAAATTGGCTGGGGATTGTAACTGTATAGATTAGATAATTGTCCCAGATTGAGCTATAAGGAGATGTAGCAGGACATATTGCAGTTGTATTGTTGGTACGTATCCTAACATTAACGGGACTTTCTGAGGATCAGATTAGTAAAGTTTTATACCAGCCTTCTCCAGTGTGGTGCCTTCTAGATGTGTGGGACTACAGCTCCCCATCATCCCCTTGTTGCAGGGAGGCTGTTTTATGTGTGTTTGGGAGAGGGTGCCCACTATATATCCCTACCATACCCACCAGACTGCACCAAACAGTGTACAGAAAATATTTCCTGAAGCTGGATTTCTTTTGTACCCTTTGTATGAAGGAGGGAGTTCATTCTCCCTCCCCAGTTCTCAAAAATGTCTGAAATGACCCTATTGTTTACAGGGTTATGGGTCATTGAGCCAAGTGCCAATCTTGGGAAGAAATGCCGTTTTGTCTGAATACAAACCTTGCTTGCTTTCATGTTGAGAAGTTGAGATGTGGCCCTGCGGCACCCTTAAGGACAAGCAAGGTTAAACACAGTCCTTGTTGGAATCCACAGGAGTTTTGCCAGCCTGGGCTTTAGTCACAGATACTTAAGCTGTACCGAGTTTCAGGCCTTAACCCCATAGATTTGTAGAAGTAGCTGGGCAAATAATTCATTTTTGTTTCTTGGAAATTTCATTTTTCTGCTTTCAAAGTACAACGGGAGAACTACTTACCAGTTATGTATTAAAAACTGAAGAATGCTGTAGCTGTCTATCACACATCAAAAGTTTTAGTGTACTACCACCTTTACTGGTATTTAATGGAGGTATATACTGTGTGCTACTCCAGTTCAACATTGTACATTGAGCTGCAGCTGTGCTAGAGGCAGATTCACTGGCCTACTTGTTTAAGAATAGAGTGTCAAGTAAAGTGGAGTGCTTGAATAGACTAGTTTCCTAAACGCACTAGGCCCATTAGTTCTAAATTATAATCGCCTACGTTGTTTCCGTCCAGGGTGTAACTAAATGCTCTCTTGTATTTAACATCTGAGCAAGAAAACAGCACAGACTCATTTATTCAAGTGACTGGATAATAAGAAACAGGGATAATTGGCATTTACACAGGACTGCATTAATACTGTGCTTCCAAGAGAAATGGATGAATACAGAGCACGTTCATTAAAAGAACATTGGAGTTTAAATTGATGGTGCTCTAGAAATAGAAGTAAACAGAAAGGTGAGTCTGAGGCAGTGAGAACTTGAGACCTTTGTTTAGTGCACCACAGACTTCATTATCTGAACATGGAACTGGAGAATCAAAACAGGCATCACGGGGTGGATACCCTCATGGTCTACTATAATTGCATAGAAAGGAAATGTTTGTGTGCTGAAAAGGAGCATGAGGCTAAGGAGCAGACCCCTTCCCCCCCCCCACTCATTGTGCTTTGCTGTTTGAAGCCTTTGTCTCTCACTCTGGTTCTTATGATGGAAACAGAAATGAGAACAGTCACCTCTTTGGATTATGGTTTCCAGAATCCAACCACCGTTGTGGTCCTCAGCTCTCATGCAAGTTGTGGGATTCTAGAAGTTTTAAGTTGTGCTGGCTGAGAGATTCTAGAAGCTGCAGGTACCTTTTCCCATTTGTAGCCAGAGGTATAGGCGAAAGTTACCTAAAAGGAAGAGCAGTGAGGGACAGAGGTCATCAGTTCATGACCTGTTCCTTTTCAGATCCCTCATTTTGTGTGTGAATTTGTCAGTATCCTTTGAGAAGTCCTGGTGTCACACTATGGTCTTTATTTTTAATTCACTAGTTACATTTATGACCTGTATTGCTTCCGGTGAGCTCAGAGCAATGCATGTGGCTCTTTTCTACCATATTTTCTCCTCACAACAATTCCACGAGGTGGACAGTGCTGAGAAAGAGTGGCTGGCCCCAACGCCACCCAGGGAGTTTCGTGGCCCAGTGGAAACTTGAGCGTGGACCTCCCAGCTCCCAGTGCAGCACATACGCAGTAGTAGACCAGGCTAGTCCTCCTGTGGAGCCAGTTCCCAGTAGCAGTTGAGGCCCCCGTGGATTTCTTTGCGGAAAGAGTAGAACTTCATATTCCTATCTTGGCTCCATAGCACAGAAGCCGAGAGGCTGTTCCCTGGGGTGGGCTCGGGGTGATAAATACATGCTGTATCTTCCACATCAAGGGGACTTGGATGACTGCGGGCACCTATTCTGTTTTGCTTCTGAGATGAGAGCAAACACTCTCCAAAATCTACACATGGCATACTAACGACCAAAAACGATCTGAAAGGCAGAGAAGAACAAACTGAAGCCACTGATTAGTTTTTGGGACTGGTTCATAGAGGCGTCCCACCCTTTAGCATTATGCGCCAGATTAATACTTTCTAAAGAGAATGTGTACATCACGGCAGAAAGGGAGGGAATAGGACCATGGGTGGTGATGGTGGGAAATGCAAAGGAATTTGGGGAGGGATCTTGTGAATGTAATGGGAAAAAAATTGCTTTTAAACCTTAATGTCACACTGTAAGCTGACTTCTGAAAGAGCTGCTTCTTCAGCAAATGCATGTGTCTTTTCTTTCTTTCAAACTAGTCAGCTGCTAGGCGAGCAGGAACTTGCTGTGCCAATTGCCAGACCACCACGACCACCTTATGGCGACGTAACGCAAATGGGGACCCCGTCTGCAATGCTTGTGGACTTTACTATAAATTGCACAATGTGAGTATTTGCTTGCCTTGTGCCTTCTTTTGGCTTGCTGAGCTGGGGGATTGATGCTTTAACTGCATGGCGTCTGCTCGCCCCTGTATTCATTACAGAGAGTCTTTTTCTTTTTTAAAAGCTCTTTAAGGCTCCCCTGGGAAGTCCTAGCCATTCTTTGTTGGCATAGTGATGCTGGGTTCAGTGACATTACAATGTATTAGCTTGGCTTCTACAGCGTGGGTAATTTAGGCAAAATAGAGTTACAGTCCTTGGTAATAATGGGAACACATTTGATTTCCTGCCTCTTCCAAAAGTCGGGAGACATTTCAAATGAAATCATACAAAAGTTAATCCAAGTGGGGTGCTTCTCTAAAAATCTGGAGCTTTTAAATTTAAATTTTCTCTCTCTTTTTTAAAAAAACAGCAGCAACTTGTAAACAGTTCCAAATAGGAAGCATTTGATATATTTAAGCATAAATAATGCACAGTGAAAGGATTTTTTCCCCTGTTTAAAATGCAAAAGCTCCAGTTTCTGAAGTGAATTTAGGGTACCATGCATTACATGTTTTTTTTAAAATTAGGAAACGGGTGAAGACCAAGGGAAGGAGAGAGTGGAAGCAGCCAGAATCTGTTCCATTTGCCTTTTATATCTGAGGTTTCCCAGAATGGATCTATTAAACAAATCAAACTTATAAACGAATTCTGCAAAGACAGGGAGATGCAGCCCAGTTTGGCTTGAAAATGATGCCTGCCAAGGAAATATTCAGGGTTAAGACTGTTCGAATAGTTTTCATTCAGCACAAGAAAGTCATTTTTCTTGCAGGAGCCTGATTTTCTTATTTCTTGCAGGTGAACAGGCCTCTGACCATGAAGAAGGAAGGAATTCAGACCAGGAATAGGAAAATGTCGAACAAGTCCAAGAAGAGCAAGAAAGGATCTGAGTGTTTCGAGGAACTATCCAAGTGCATGCAGGAGAAGTCCTCACCTTTCAGCGCAGCTGCCCTGGCCAGTCATATGACCCCAATGGGCCACTTGCCACCTTTCAGCCACTCGGGACACATCCTGCCGACACCAACCCCCATTCACCCCTCTTCCAGCATCTCGTTCGGACATCCACATCCATCCAGCATGGTCACAGCCATGGGATAGAATCAGGAGATCCTTGAAAGACTTAAGGTGCTGGGTTTTGCCAAACGGTGACAGCAAGATTCTGCCCAGAAGCAAGAAAACAAAGGGAAAGAAGGATAGGACGAAGGAAGGAAAAAGGGGATCTCATTCCAGTGCGGTTCAACTCCTAGTGCTAGACTAAAATTTGTATAAATGATGGGTCTTCTGCAGAAATGCTTAAAGGTGCCTGATATGCACTTTCCCCCCCTCAGGTAAAAGGAAAAAGAAGGAACTCACCAGTTTGATTAAGATACATGCTAGTCCCAGCAGAAAGCGAAGGTGGCTGAAGCAGCAGCAGAATCTAGAGCCAACTTTCCTTTCTTGTTGTTCATTACTGTGAATATTGTAAAGAGATCAGTTGCCTCCTGATGCAGAGGAAGCTCAGTGATAGCCGCCCAAGCTGGATTTCTGTCACACAAGATGCTCTGCGGGAAAGAAAAGAAGTTAAAAAAAAAAAGGACAACTTTTTAGAAATCTACTTTTTGAGAAAAATCAGATACAGAATAAAAGGAGAGAAAAAGAAGTCACTATTTATTTTGCTCTTGTGTCCCAGAAAGAGGTTCAAAACTCTTGCATGTATTTGTGGATCTTTTGTTTTATTTTGGTTTTTTAAATTTTGTTTAAAGAAACATCCACCCTAGTAGAAGACAGGTTTTTAAGAATTATTATTATTATTATTGCTTAATGGCCACACTTTTGATTTTCTTCATTGCTTTTAGAGTTAAGCAGATCTACTAGGAAGGGGGACGTATGTGTGTGAGAGGGAAACATTTAGTTCTAATGTAGGTTATAATAGTGTCAAAGTGGAGATTGTTTTCACATAGTTTCTGCATTCTTTTCTGCAAGGTGAAGATTTTGTTGAAAAGTATGGCATCCACCAAGAAGACAGATACACTGGACAAAGGGTTGAAAGGTTTTCCATACACAACAATCTTGCATTGGCTGGAGGCTAATATCCAGGCAGCCAACATGTCTCTCTTATCAAAATGCTCTGGGCATGTAAATGGTTGTAGTGGATGGTAACATATCCTCTTGTGGCATATTTCCTTTGGTTGCTTTCTCTTCTGGCTACAGTTTTTGCAGTGACTGGTTGAGCAGCCTCCCATAATGTCTTGCATTGCTTTGGACCAGCCTTCCTTGGTTCGATGTCCCACTGATGCATTAGACTACAAGTCCATTGCTCCAGCTAATGTCTCCTTGTGATGGACTTGGTAATGCAATGTATCTGCAGGCCACCCGTCTGGAGGAAGGCTGCAGTTCCCTGGCACTGCAGGTGCTCCATCCTCAGACCGGATTTGCACGGCCTCTCCCACTCTGTACCTAGTGGCCCCTCCCTCTCTGTCATTGCTCCCAGTCTGTTTTCTTTCTCCCTTTGTCAGTCTTGACAAGACACCTGAAAACCAAGCCTTTGTGTAGTTAGGGCACAGCGGTGTTAAACCTCTCTAGTAGCATCAGTGGCCTGCCCAGGGACCACTGTCTCCCCCACATGATCCATCTAGGTTAGTCCTTAAGCTGCTGTTCAGTTCACAGTCCTATTCTGTGCCGAGTTCTGGTTGACAGAACTAAGATGGTTTGTGGATAAGTAGGTCATGTTCCTAGATAACCATGCATAGGATAACAGTCCTGAGAATGTGGTAAGCTGTTTTAACACAGATTCAGATCATTGTTTTATTAGATAGCATCTGTCTTAGTAAAACTACAATTGCAGAGCTGGAAACCCCTCTCAAAGAGTCACAGGGGGAATGGAACTCCCAGCCTCTGGCTCCACAGCCAGACACCTAAGCCAATGAGCAGCTCTTCCATTCCAAGTTACATAGTGGCAGCAGTTTGCTTTCCCAGTTTTGGTTGGTTTATTTGGTTCCCCCCCCCACCCCCGAGATGGTTTAAGAAGAGGTGCCAACTCTGCTGAAGGTTTTGTAACTTTTTAGAGCTTGGAAAAATAACAGGCCGTGTTGGCTGGGATTGGGGTGGGAGTCTGGGGTGGGGGTGGGGGTCATAGTCCGAAATAGCAGCTCTTCCAAGCTCTGTCTTCAGCTTGCAAAACAGGCATTTTACTTCTTCCTCCAGCAGTCTTGTGTGTTTGAGTTGGGGCAGCTTTCATGCTAAACAACACTGAGAGGCTCTTATCATGGGGCAGTTTTGTTTTCCCAGTTTCATTAGCGGATGTTGCGCAGTAGAACCTACTATCCTGTGTCTTAAGCGTAGCTTGGCTCTGCAGCAGCATTAATAGCAAATTTTCTGCTTGGGGAGGAGTGGTGGGCAGGAGGTGTGTAAAATTCTACTAGAAGGAAAAGGAGGGAGATGGGGATCAGATCCTTCCAGGAGTTGGACGTTGCAGTAGCTGTTGAACAAGGGAAAGCCGTCTGCTCATGGGGAGAAGAACAGGAGATATGTCGGCTGTTTCGTATAGCATATGTTTTATATTTTTTAAAGGAAATTACAAGTGTTGAGAAAAAAAAAGTGGTCTCCCATACTGAAACCATATTGTACATTTTTAAAAAACTGAAAAAAATAAAGCTCTTGCCAGTGTGAAGTGTATTCTCTTAATTGTTATGATCTGATGACTTTCATGATCACAAGGTCCAGTATAACATGTGATGTACATATTTAGCTATATTTCTGATGGGAAAAAAGCCCCTGTGAGCAGAGGGACTTAATAATGTAAACTGCATAAGCTTAACTCTGTGACAGCTTTTTATTGTTTTTCCTTATTTTTTTTTAATCAAGCCAATTGTATCTTAACTGCAAAAGTCTGCTTAAAACAAAAGACAAAGGTGTATGCCAGTTTTGTTTTTCCTAAATATGTAATTCAGTTACCTGAGAAATAACAAAGGACCAAACATCCAAAACAAAATGGCTTCCCTCCTTATCTGGCCTGTGCAGGCAAGCTTTCCCAAGAGGCCAGGTGGCCACCGATTGGGTTAAATCACAATTCCCAGAATCCTGTCCGTGCTGGTTGGGATTATGGGAACCAGAAGTCCCAGTTTATGTGGATAGTACCAGGTTGGGGAAGGCTGTGTTGGGCATATATAGCTGCACTTTGTGAAAGAGTAGAAACAATCCCATACTACTAAGCAACCAACCAAACACCACCGAAAACCAACCAATGAAAGATAATATTTTTTTTCCTGGAGAAATATTTTCAATTGGCCAAGACAGAAATTATTGATCTTTTATTTAGGGTATGTGTATGTATGTGGAGGGAAGGAGAACCTTCTAAAAATATGGTACAGTTATACATTGTTTGTAGCCAATCCAGATTCCTGTGGGAGTATGAGCATCTGGGAGAGAAAATGGAATTTATGATATTAGGGAGCACACACACACACACACACACCCAGCATGGCTACTGATGAACAGACTCTTATCTTAGCAAGGGAAGCCCAACAAAGCCACCCTACTATGAATAGAGACTACACATCATGAGGTTGCTGGAAAGGGTCCACAAATGACAAAGTGCAATATATTGTCAGTCACTGCAGCGTAGAAGAACAGCAGTCAGGATTTAAATTATTTTGTACTTGTATCAGCATAAAGATTTGGCAGTATTTTCTGTTTTTTTTTAAATTGCTTAATTTTTGGATTAGTGAACTAAGTTATTGTTAATTATGTACAACATGTTTATATATTGTCTGTAAAAAAGTGTATGCTTCCCTCATATTCCTTCAAGGTGAATACTGCTAAGAATAATAAAAAAAAATACCCCTTTTTTGTGAAAACAGTTTTTGCTCCATTCTGTGTAGTCCAGGTGTCATTGCTTCCTGTTGGCAGTGTGTTCCATTCATGCTTCCTAACATACAGGCTCATTCTGGAATAGGGTGGCCCCAGAGTCTTGTAGTTCAGAGGAAGTGATTCATAAAGTCTTATGGTCCTAGTGACATTCTTTCCCCTTCCCACACTGTAGTGGTGGAGATTCTTTAGACAACAAAATAGCAAGTGGGCGTTCATCCCTGCATGTATGCATGGGGCAGGACACTGACTTATGGACTGCAAATCCTACTGCAATTTCAAAGTGATGTTTATGTCCCAACTGCATATCTATAACATAGCAAACAGCCATATTGTATTGGGTCTCTCTTGATTAAGACAATTAGCCTCTGAAACACTTTTGCAAGGAGAATGGAAGAACCAGAGGCTGGACTCGCACAGGTTGCTAGAATTATTTCCTTGTCCCCTGTTCGTTTCTTGTCTGAATTTAACATGCTGATGTTTACATTGAAAACCCAAACTAAACCTGAATATTGAAATCCTCAAATACCAAAAGCAGACCCTCCTACTGCCCCAGCCTATCTGTACATTTGGATCATCAGCCAAAGCTGTATTCCAGCTTTCTGCTATATCCTTTGAAGGACAAGCTTATATCTAAAAGAGAGAGACATTTTATAGAGATGTGGGACTTGTGCCACTATTAGGAAATGCTCCACCCAGGAGAGACATGCCTGCCAACAATTTATGCCTGTAGGAGTGTGTCTTAGGTACCAGACAAAAATCTCTGTATGCATCCAGGCCTTTGCATTTAAATATATATATCGTGGCGCAGTGGTTAAAACGCTGTACTGCAGCTAAAACTGTGCTCACGACCTGGGGTTCAAATCCCAGGTAGCCGGCTCAAGGATGACTCAGCCTTCCATCCTTCCGAGGTCGGTAAAATGAGTACCCAGCTCGCTGGGGGGGGGGGGCAATGTGTAGCCTGTATAATTAAAATTGTAAACCGCCCGGAGAATGCTTGTAGCACTATGGGGCGGTATAGAAGTCCAATAAATAAATAAATAAATAAACATTTCAAATTCAATGGGTTGGATCCAGCGTTAAAACTAGCCCCTTTGATTCTAATGTACCCCCATGAGCATAACTGAGGGAGTGACTACATAGGTATTTGTCCCAGTGTTTGTGCCGAATGTGTCATTGTTCCTTCCAAAGTTTATTCCATTGACTACATGACATTAGCAATAATCATGAGTTGATCTGATATCTTGCCATGAGTGTATTTTGTTGACAGAGCTTGTGTTTGTAACTCCCTGTTTAGAAATTAACTGTTGGAGAGTATCCATTTATACATCACAAAAGAGAGGACACAGCTCTGCATCAAAGTTTTCATACAGCAATTTATAGCTATAGACCAACATCTAGAAATCCAACACTGTCCTTGTTCCTGCAGAAATAGCTTCTGAAAATGCAGGCAAGAGGGGAACAATCCCCAGTCCCTCCTACAGCACCCCATCCCATCTAAACCCACTTTAAACGGCTAGGATAATCTCTGGAGCTCATGTCTGGTGCTGGACAAGGTCACAGAGAAGCGGGTGGAAAATCTGAATGCTATTCACTGCCATCCCACTGGATGTAGTCCAAACATTTAACTATGTGTACAAGGCATCTCACTTGAGTTGGGGACAACTGTGACCCATGTGCCTTCTCAGTTTGCTATCAAATGGGCTTCTGACTGTG